CGCCCGGCCGCTCCGCGGGGCTCGGGCGGGACCATCGCGCGGGGCGGGGGGTGCGGGGCGCCATGCGCGGCGCTGAGGCGGCCCGTTGTGTTTGTTGCAGGATGCGCTACGTCGCGGCCTACCTGCTCGCCGTGCTCGGCGGCAACGAGTCGCCCTTGTCCAAGGACCTCAAGAAGATCCTGGACAGCGTCGGCATCGAGACGGACGATGAGCGCGTGAACAAGGTGGTGGCGCGGGGGGCGGGAGCGGGGCGCGTGGTCCGGGCCCACCGCCGGGACAGCCGGGAAGCACAAAAAAGGGCCTGAGATATAGATTTATACATACACACACATAAATAAAAGCAGATAGTGTGGATGGTTGCGTATATACGTAAAAGGGGCGTTTTCAGAAAAGTGCTGCGGCCAGATGCCCTTCCTTGCTGGGAGCCCCCATCCTTGGCACGTGTTAAACGGCTACGGGGAAGAGGGATGAACTTTCCTGCTGCCGGCCACGTGCGTAGGGCGTTTCCCGGGGGCTGCAGGAAACACGGTTATTTTCCCATTCTCGGTTATTTTCCCATTCTCGTGCCATGTCTTTAGGGTCAGCCTGGCCAGACACTGGCTGCTCGGCAGGCAGAGCCCTCGAGGCACATGGGCGGTCACCAGGCCTTACACCTTGTTTACAGCTGCTTGTTGCCTTCATAAATTGTTTTCTCTGATTTTCCAGTATCCAGAAAGTCTCCCGGGAGTTTGTTTTGGCCATAGTTGCTCATACTTGTATATTTGTGCTGGCAGAAGTTTATGCCAGTGTATCTTAAAGTATTAAGGCCTCCCAAATTAAGGAGATACACAGATGTGGCATCTCGCAGGCTGCGCGCTCTGTGTGAGTGACAGATATTTCTTCAGGAGCTCCCTAGAAGCATCTATGATCTACCTTAGTTTTTCACTTTTGATTGCCTGCTTTGGCAGTGCTTGTTTTCCTTTTCCCTGCCTGTAAAACAATGATAGTAAAATAGCATCAGGACTCTCTGTTCCAGTGCAAAGATACAGTCCCCAGCTTGGCTGTAACGTTGGGGAGTGCCAAGAACAGGATACTGGGTTTTGGTTTGGGGCCCAGTGCTCCGGAGCCTCCCAATGGAAGTTAGGCAAGATGTGTTACCAGTCCCCAAGGGGCCAGCAACCCATTACTGGGGTTTTCCAGTTGGCTCTGGGAGATTTGCGTATCCTACTTTGGGTAACAGCTATGGATTCATTATGAATTTCTTGTAACATTTCATGAGAGAAATTTCCCAGAAAAGTGTGAAAGACCCAGCTGGAGCATTTTCAGTGCTCTGTCCCTTCCTCCGAGAAATAAGGCACGTGAGAGCTGTGCAGCAGCGGGGTGGACATTGCACACAACTATGAATCAGTGCTTGTTCAAATGTAGCTTATCGTCTTGTTTTGAGACTATTAACATTTTACATTCAATTCTTGCAGGTTATTAGTGAGCTGAATGGAAAAAACATCGAGGATGTCATTGCTCAGGGTAAGTGCAGTCTCCGTGCTGTGGCTGCCTCTCCACTTTGGTAACTGCGGCTCAGGAGCACAGAACTGCTGTCAGCTCCTTGGCTATTCCTCACTTCAGTCTTGCTGCTGAGGACTTTGCTGAAATGGCTCTGCTGAAATGATGGACATGCAGCAGGTCCATTCTAATTCCCTGCAGGTCAGTGCCAGTACCTGCTGGGTTTCGCTTGTGGACCACATTAAACTGGGAGACTTCAAACTGTATGAGCTTACTGGTAGTCTGCTCATAACATGGTTTTCTGGACATGATCACCTTTGGTACTCTGGGAGGTTCCTTTTTTTTTTTTTTTTTTTTAATTTACCCACTTGTGCACACTAATCAAGTAAAATAGGAAGAAAAGACTGTTAAATGTAAGTAGAAGTGACAGTACTCATAAAGGGCACAGCTGCCCCCACTGCAATTAATACAAGCCTCCAAAGCACACATTTGCTAGAGATACCTCAGTCTGGCTGTATAAACCTCTAAAACACCTTTTTTTTTTTTTTTTTTTTGGCCTGAGCTAGGGCTCTTTGATTTATACTGATTTAATTTATACAGGAAGATTGTGCTCTTACCTGCTGCTACCTAAGATGCAACTCTTAAAATTGCCTCACTGGGTCACAGGGCTGAAATAATGTAGAGCTGGGGTAGTGCAAAAGTCTGGAGTTAATTAACCTCTATTTTGCAAATGGGTAGCCACAGGGGAACTTTTAAGAATGTGATTTGAACTGTATTTGCCCAAAGGTTGCCAGGACTTTGCCTGGTATTGCTGGTAGGAAAAGTAACTGGATGTTTCTATTGGTGTGGTCTGAAGGCTTGAGAGAGCCATTCTGCATGTGCTTACAACACATTTCAGCCATCTGTTTATGTAATACTTGATCTTAAAATAGTTTCCTAGAACACATTGACAGGCATATGAAACATGTTTGTTTACTTTGCTAGCTTATTAGAGCTTGAAATAACAACCAATTATTTAGACATTGATTCCCAGAAAATGTAATACAGGCAAACGTACTGTATACGCAACCTCCGAATGCCAAGGGAGCCTCGGTATGTGAAAGGCAGATGCCAGAGAAACAGTTAGCTTTCCAAAGTCGGGCATAAATCAGAAGGGAATTTGCTAGCCTGAAAGAACATGCAGTAAGAGTTTGCAAGGTGTTGAGAGATCAGAGGACATGCAATAAGAGCTTGCAAGGTGTTGGAAGATGAGAGTACTGTATTCTTTGCCACAAATACAGCAGTTTTAATCCTCTCTCCTGTGTAAACTTAGTCATGCCCATACAATTCTGTATACTCTATAGCCAGTAAATAGACACAGCCCAACAGCAATCACCTAGAAAGGGCTCCTTAAGCTCTGTTCTCGTGTCACCGTGCGGTGTGTGTTTAACAAGTGTCCCCCTCCGTCCCGCTCAGTTAACGGGAAGCTGGCCAGCATGCCGGCCGGCGGAGCTGTGGCCGTGGCTGCTGGCGGGGGCTCGGCCGCCCCTGTTGCGCCGCCCCTGCTGCAGGTGAGTGCGAGTGTCCGCGGCGAGACGAGGCGTCGGGGAACGCTGCCGCGAACAGCAAAGCGCACGCGCTGCTCCTGGAAAGCTGTGGTGCAAAAACTACAGTAAGTGCTGACTGTGGCCTCGTTTGGTTTTCTTCTTTCAGCCGAGGAGAAGAAAGAAGAGAAGAAAGAGGAATCTGAAGAATCTGACGATGACATGGGATTTGGCCTATTTGATTAATTATTTGTTATAGAAATACTATTAAATTTGTTTGTTCTTTTAAAGGGTTTCTGAGCTTTCTTTGTTATAACCATACAATGCTATTGGATTTAGCCCATTTTCTGAAAATAGCTCTGACAAAGCTTTGTTTTTTAGCTCTGTCTGGAAAAGTATGTTTCTGTTATGGCTAAATGAGGCCATGGAAAGCACCATGATACTGCTAGGCTTGGGTGAACCTGAACGGCTTTTTTTAGACTCCTGTTTATTAAATGGTTCATGGAAGTTGAATTTGCCAGAACAGCACAAAGAGGATGATTTGGGTATCACAGTTACACAGCAAAGAGTAACTATGCAGCCTGTCAGTAACTATCCCACCTATTCAGCCATAAAAAGTGGATTTTTAAATCCATCTAGTCAGTTCTAAAACATAAGAATGGAAAACACCTCCAATTTGGTCCAAAAATGATTTTATTTGTGAAATTATTTCAGAGCAAGTTTTCTAATAACTATTGTGTGTGACTTTAAAAAAAAAAAATTACTGCTTCACATCCCAAGATCTAGGAATAACACCAGCAATGTCTGACTATGCTTGGATTTCATGTTACATGCACATGTTCAACATAGACCATTCAAGAATACTGTAGGTCTGCTTCCAAGTCCTGATCTTGGGGGCTTTAGCCAAAGGACAGGGGTACTGATGCAAAAGTGCTGCTAATACTGAATTCTGGGGACAATAAAAATATTTTATCAGGAAAGTGTTTTTGGGAACTGCTGATTCTGGTGTGCCTGGACGAAGGTATTAGCTTGAGAGGATATTAAACTTTGCTTTTGTAAAGTGTTTCCTATTGGGACATACTTCAGTGACTTCTAGAGCAGTCTTTGGTTGTCCCTGTGAGTGGATAATGTGCAGATAGGCAAGTGATGGTCTGCCTGGGCTGAGTTTTCCCCAGGTAGTGTCACCAAAAGATGATTCCTGGAGCAGCCTGCCCAACATAGGTTACTGCATGTGGCTGATGCTGCTGTGCAGGCTATGTGTCATTGGACAAAGCACTGTGAATTGCATTGGAGCAGAGATGGGGGAAATCCAAGTAGGAAAAACAGTGTTTTATCTCCCTGTGGTATACTGGAGAAAACGCCCATCACGTGGCAGCCAAGGGAGAGGGAACAGATGAAATTTCCATCCTTGGAGCCCACAACTGTTTCAAGCCACTGCAAGGAAGAGCTACAGGAAGCAGCACCAAAACCTTTCATGTACTTCAGTTCTCAAGTCTTTGCTGAGGTGATCTTCATAGCTGTAATGAGAACTGCTCATATTTATTCTAGTTCTCGGTCAGGATTGTAAGGGCTGTGATGTGACACTGAGAGGGGTGCAGATATATCTGTGTTTCACTCCTTGCCAATTTCCGCATTTCAGGTATCTAAAAAGAAGTTGCAGTCTGGTTTCACTGCCAGGTAGTCCCCAGCCTGCAAAATTGCCTGGCTTTGGCTGCTACAAGGGCAAACCCAGTGGTTTGACAAGGAGGAACTGTGCCTATCACCTGGGTCAGGTGGGCCTTTCCCATACACAAAGGACTTCTGTTTCAATGGCACTGAGCTACTGCAGGAGTTTGTTGTGCCCAGGGCCATGGGATGAGACTGAGGTGCTGTCAGCTGTGCCCTAGGAGAAAGGAGCAGCTAGAGGACTAAAAGGGCTCCCTTGGACTCTGAGCTACACCAAGACAGACTTCCCTCCCTTGATCACATTTTTTCTACTTCTCCCTACAGCCCATTAGGCTTTGAGTTACAGATCCAGTCTTGTACTGAGTGCCCTCTAGCAAATGTAAATTTTCTCCTGAAAGTGCATCATTTTGAGAAAAGCTGTCATTGCTCAATCTGCTTCAAGAAGGTTTGCGTGTGCACAGGCAAAGATAAACAGATTATTTGCCAGTGCCCCGTAACGGCCATGTGCCCTTTTAGATACTTTCTTACTCCACAGCACTTTATTGCTTGTGGTAAACTCTTTTAGCGCAGACATGTTTAAAGAATAGCTCTCATCAAGCAACAAAAATACGACGATTGTCACACTGCCACAGGGAGGCAATGTGCTTTACACAGCCGCCTCATACACTGTGAAGGCCAGGAAGGAGAACAGTCCAGAGATTTCACGTATTTTTCAGAATTTGCTGCATTTATGAACTACATGCCTAGCAAATGTTTCTTCCAAATGCAAAGGCGAAGGATTTAAAGCTTTCTTCTGTATCTGTTTGCGAACTACTTGTCTCCCAATAGCATTATGAGCAATGGTGTGCTTAGAAATCTGTTGCAGACCCATTAGATCCTGCGGCCAGGGAACATCGCCCTCTGCTCCACGGATCTCGGTGAGCTCCAGCTATGAAGGAACTGGGATCCCTGCTTCCACTCTGCAGATGCTGTTCTGAGCTTCCAAGGAGTCAGTGAGCAGGCGTTTCCAAAGAGGCAGCGGCAGCGCGGATGCTTTCCACGATACCGTCAGAGAAAACTGGTGCCTGCAAAGACCTGGAGAGGTGGCCTAGTCTCTTCCCTCACAGGATCAGGTTCGCTTAGATTTTACCTGAGGTTTCCTCATAAAGAAACTTCAAAGGCATTGAGGGGAGAGGAGATGATACTAAATCTTTTGCCTGGAGATTACACTGGTAACTGATTATTACTACACAGAGGTAGAGGTAAAATGATTTAGCGATGGGCTTGACATTGAAACATGCAGAGCTTTTGTAACTGGGACACGCTGCTCCATATCAAATAAGCTTTGCCTGAAAACCATTACCTACAAATGCCACTGGGATAGGACATGACATCTTTGCTACTTGGAAAGCAGGGAGAACGTCCTGGGCACTACTAGAAAATAGTAAGCAATGGCTCCCGGGTGGCCTCTGTCAAAGAAGCTGGTTTCACTCTGTCCACAGAGGCCAAATGTTGCAAGCAATTAAACGCAGGCAGTCCTGCCGAACTCGGCGGGTCACACTCAGGGAGGACAGAGATATCTGTAGACACAGTCCTATAAGTCCAGGCCTAGGTGAGCAGAACGATGGGAAGGCTCCAGCACCTCAGGTGACACCGCTCTGACCCACACCGCAAACCTTTGCCCTGGAACTGTCTCACGTTCCTTCACACCCCGCAGGGCAGACCCAGGCCCCCAAGTCAGAATTTCGGCCTCTGTGTATGACACTTGGGTTAGGCCTTCATGGCTGCTCCCCCAGCCTGACTGGGTGACAGCACTAAAGCAAGTAACACGCTGAAGACAACAGCACGCAGACTCTGCCTCTTATCTTCCCTTTCAAATTATTAATCCTCCCCACTGGCTGCCAACAGCCAAGGTCTTAGCTAGAAAACAAACAGGCATCTGTTTGCTTACATGCTATTATCTCATCTGTATTGACTGGCCACAATTCACTGGACTGAAAGCAAATGCAACAAGGAGATTGCAGAGGTTCTCCCAGTGGCATCCCAAACATGCAAGAGCATGAGTGAACTTGCAGCGTTCTGACAACAGTTTAATGCAGATGCAAAGCTGCCCTGCAAGTCCTGCTGACCCAGCTACTTGCAGGACTCTGAACGTTTTGATAGTTGTACTTTCTCACCGAGAGGAAAAAGATTAGTTTGGGGATTCATAATTTTGAAGAAAAACACAGTTGCTCTTTCCACCTACTAATGCCAATGCCCAGGAAGCACTCGGCAAGAGAACACTATTTGTATTTTTTTATTTCAATAACCTATTTAAAACATGCAGCAATAAACTGCTCAGACAGGTAACCTTCAGAGCCAACAGAGAGTCATGTAAACAACTTGGAGGGTGAGATTACTGTGCAAGAACAAAATGAAACCAAACCAGCACTGTCACAATATTGCTGTTTCTGTTGCATGAACCATTGCGTTTGGTGAAATGCTGAAAACAGGAAGCAGTGTTAGCTCAAGATCGAAGCTGGTTTTGTGGTTACATGCGTTATCATGCAAACAAGGTTCAGCATTCAGTTCTTTTTTTTTTTTTTTTTTTTTAAGGCATAGCCCAAAGACAGTTTTTGGAGGGAGGGCACAGCCCCTGCTCTGGAAAAGGCGTTACACAATGTTTTCCTTGATTTTGGCTAAATGGAAATATTTCTCAGTGTCACCAGGAGCACAGGGTGAAAGCACTATGGTCGTTCTATTGTTAAAGGGGTAAGAGGGCTCTTTAAGAGGATTAGGGCTCAGGGGCACCTCCACCCCTCTCTTCAGGTGGAGGAGATGAAGGTTGACAAGGGTCCTGTTTTCACATCAAACATGAGGGAGGGAGGGAGGAAACTATAAAAGCATGTAGAGGTATGTGAGGGGAAAAAAAAATAATACTTTGTGAAGAAAGGAGGGCAGAGGGCACAAGTAGAGAACTTGAGATAAGTGGGGTTAGTTCTTCAGGTACTCGAGGGTGGAGCCATTACGTACCCTGTGTTAAGTGCTCCTCCTGGCATCCAGGCCAACTGTGGCCTCTTGAGCTCTGGAGTCAGGCCTGGAAGGAGGATATGGCTGCAGCCCTGCCTGCCTGGAGGAAGGAAAGGGCAAATGGTTAAGGAACGAGTGGAAGGCCCCTCTACAGGGTGCCTTGCGCAATGTGCTGTCTGTGTGTCCTCTGGAAGGCCGCGTACAGTGAAACAAATCAGAGTGAGGCTGCTTGGGTAAACTCCACTCATGCAATTCGTGAAGTCCTCTTTACAGGAAGGAGGCCTTGGTTCTTTGTTTAGTCTGAGAGCTGTGACAGAGAGGTATAATCTCATCCCAAAGGAGAAAATTATGACCGGTTATAAGAAAACTAATGCAAATAGATTTGTTAGGATGAATGAGGTCTTTTTCCTGCTTTGATAGCAAATACTTTCACCCCATACTGATGCTATCAGGAAGCTATTAACACTCTTCCTCCACCAGAGCTCCCTCCTGCTGAGACAGCCTCCTAGCGTGAGTTGAGCAGCTGCTCCTCTTGCTTTTCTGGCTCTTTTGATGATCCCTGTGGACTTTCATGCTCATCTAATTGTTTGAACAATTGTAGCCTGTACTGTCTATGACCAAGGAGGTCC